GAACTCCTGAGCTCAAACAATCCACCCGCCTCGGCCTCCCAGAGTGCTAGGATTACAGGCGTGAGCCACTGCACCCGGCCTAGCCTGTCTTTCTTTCACTCCTTACATATAATCAGTCCCCAAGGCTTTGCTGAAAGACCCCTTCTTCCTCTATAATTTGTCCCCTAGGTTGATTGCATCTACTCCCCCAACCTAAACTAGCTCTCTTAAGCAATGGCACTCAAATTTACTGTCTCCAGCCACTTCCTTGTGCTAAAGCCTAAGATCTGAATTTCCAACCACCAAGATAATCTGTCCACTTAAATATCCTGCTGCTAACTCAAATGCCACACATTCCGAACCAAATTAATCATCACCCCCACCCCCCAAACCCAGCTCCTTCTCCTGTTGTTTTTATTACTGTTAATGGCATCCTCCTCCTCCTCCGTTATTAAGGCTAGAAATCTGAGTCACCTTTGCTGCCTGCTTGTCTCCCTCATCTCCCACATCTTATCAGGTAGTTGCCAAGTCCTGTCTTACCTACCACCTGTCTATTGTCTTTTAAATGTGCCTTCTTCCAATTCCAGCCTGCATTACCTCTTACCTGGACCAATGTAATAGCCTCTAATCCTTCTATCCCTCTACACGCCAATCCAAGTGGCAGCTTCTCCCTCTACTACCACCTACCACAACTCTGACCCTTTCCTTATGTATCTCCTTAAATGACACTTTCTTCAGGAGACGTCTGACTCCCACCTCCCCCGGCCCATGGGGTTTCTTCTCCTTTAACTCCTCCCACTCAGCACCCATTACACCATTTATCATAGCTGTTGGATTAAAAAAAAAAATAGTGGCACACATAGATTGCAGTGTATATGCAGGGTTTGTTTGTTTGTTTATTTATTTGAGACAGAGTCTTGCTCTGTTGCCTGGGCTAGGGTGCTGTGGTGTCAGCCTAGCTCACAGCAACCTCAAATTCCTGGGCTCAAGCGATCCTCCTGCCTCAGCCTCCCGAGTAGCTGGGACTCTAGGTGCGCACGACCATGCCTGGCTAATATTTTTTTTTCTATTTTTAGTTGTCCAGCTAATTCTTTCTATTTTTAGTAGAGACAGGGTCTTACTCTTGCTCAGCCTGGTCTTGAACCCCTGACCTCAGGCGATCCTCCTGCCTCCAAGAGTGCTAGGATTACAGGTGTGAGCCACCTTGCCCGGCATGCAGGGTAATTTTTAACTAACAATATTAGATGTCCTAGAAATGATACTCAACTCTTCACTCCCAATATTCCCAAAGTAGTATTGATGGAGGTGCTGCAGTTGACTCCACAGTGAGCTCTCAGGGAACAAGGACTATGTTTCAGCCATCTTTGCCTCCCCAGCATCTGGCACAAAGTTGATCCTGAACCAACATCTGTTGAGTTAATGACTGTATGAACAAGACACCCTTATGCAAGCAATCACATCCCTTTCCTTGCCCCTCTTCCTGCCCCCCCCACACCCCTCAATATTGCTAGGGGCAGAGGCAAATGTGTCTTCTACTACAGAATGAGTGCCCAGCTCACAGAGCTGAATTATAGGACTTTAGGGGGTTTCTGATGAGCTCCTTTGAATGACCTTGGGAAAAAGAACTTTGTTTAGAAGTGGCTAAAGTCAGCTTCTAGCTAAATGCTGTCTAGATTTAAATTTTGACTCTTGGCCAAAATCTGGAAAATATTTGAATGTCCATCTATAGAAGAGTTAAATTATGATCCATTCAAGCTATGGAACAGAGCTCGGTTTTAAAAAAAAATGTGTTACATCTATTTTCACCTGGAAAAAACTTAGAGTAATATAATGTTAAATAAAACAACAAAAAGAGCATGTTGTAGAGGAACATGTATGCTGTAATCTTTTTTGGTAAACAAAAGGGGAAAAACCATGAATGTGTGTGTGTGCGAGCACAGTAGAATGAACACCGAGAAAAGAAAGAAATATTACATGAATTTGTTAACAGTTATTTCAGGGCAGTAGGACTGAGGGAGAGAAAGAGATTATTAAATTTTTTATTTTCACTCCCACTTTCCCCCTAAAAACCAAGCCACCACTTGAGAACAGCTATTTGTATAGCCACTGAATGAGCAAGAAAGAAGAGAAACCAACCCATAGCGATCATTCCTAAATCCCTCGATATCACTTCTCCCCACTTCATGTCCATTTGCTATGTAAGCTATGTAACAAGTCACTTAACATCCATTGCCCCCAAATTCACTTTGATCTCACATTTAGGGGCAAGAGATAAGACCCTCTGCCTTTATCACATGGGCTCCACAGGGCAATACACTGGTATATAGGAAGAAATGATTTTCCTTCAAGTCAGGCATCCTTAATCCTTTTAAAAAGAGTTTTTTTAATTTTTATTTTTTTGAGGCAGGGTCTTGCTCTGTTGTCCAGGCTACAGTGTAGTGGAGTGATCATAGCTCACTGTAACTTCAAACTCCTGAGCTCAGGAGATCCTCCTGCCTCAGCCTCCTGAGTAGCTGAGACTACAGGCTCAAATCACCACACCTGGCTGATTTTTCTGTTTTTTTGGTCTCGCTATGTTGCTCAGACTGGTCTGGAACTCCTGGCCTGAAGGGATCCTTACCCTCTGCCTCCCTAAGTGCTAGGATTGTAGGCATGAGCCACCATGTCCCACCTTAAAGGAAGGCTTTTAAATATATACATATAGCATTTTTAAAATTGGGGTATAATTCACATACTGTAAATTTTACCCTTCTTAGCGTACAATTCTGTGAGTTTTGACAACCACCACCACAATCAAGTTATAGAATATTTCTATTTCCCCAAAAAGTTTTCTAACGCCACTCTGCATTCCCCCTCCCACCCCCCCCACACCCAGCCCTGGGCATCCAGGGGTCTGTTCTCTATCCCTATAACTGTTTTCTTCCAGAATGTCATATAAATGGACTCATACAGTATGTGGCCTTTTGAGTCTGGCTTCTTTTGCTTAGCAAAATGCATTTGGGAGTTACCCATGCTGTTGTATATATCAGCAGTTCCTTCCTTTTTGCTGCTGAGCAGTATCCCATTGTCTGGTTGTAGCCCAATCATTAACTTGTTGAATGACATTTGTGTTTTCCCAGTTTTTATCTCTAATGAATACAACGGTTACAGACTGTCTCCTGTGGGTTATTAAGGGCGATTTTTAATTCCCTAGAGGCCTTCAGGAGGTGGAAAGGCTGCAGAGAGGAGCGCTGCTAAAAGTAAGGAATGCTGTTCAAGTGGGGTTACAGGGGAGTGGAGGGTTGCCAAGGGGCCCCAGCAGAAAGAGAGAAGCGTGTCTGCCTTGACACACGCTCAGGCCTCACTACTCAGCCGGGGGTGTATTTTCACCCCAGCTCCTCTTCCACTCACTGCTCAACACTGCAGGATTAATTAGCAGGATACAAATTCCTGGAACAGCAACTGTGCGTTTTTGCGTGGCGCACAACAGATAGACATCACGCACTACAACAAGGTGCACATGAGGTTGTAAGGTGAGCCCCCAGGGCAGAGAAAGTCCCGGGAGGATGGGGAAGGCTTGCTCCGCTTACCTGCCGCGGGTCCATAGCGCCCCTGGGGCATGGCCCAGCCTTGGCGGCCGGCAGCGCCACCCAGCCGCTGCCCCTGCCTCGACGGCTTGGCCGTGCCAGCCTCGCGAGACCCCCGCGTTGCTCCGAACACCGAGGGGCCGCGAGGGGTCGCGGGGTCGGTACGGAAAGCCCCAGCTGCCTGCGAGCTGCACCCAAGATGGCTCCTGTTCAATTTCACTTTCGTTTCCTCAGAAAGCCTTCCCCTTTGCAAAGTTTGGCCAAGAGGAGGAGTCTGGGCAAATTAGCGTGTGCGCTGGGTTTCACACCGATTGCAAGTCCAGGCCCTGCCTTGCCTGAGAACTGCGGAAGGTACTCTTTCTTTAGGAAAACGCCTATAAATACCGAGCTCATAATTCCTCTCAGGAATACACGGGATAAAGCAAAAGGAAAACAAAGGCGCGCAGCGCAAGCTCAGCCCGGGAGAAACAGCAAGAGGCTCGGTCCGCCTTCTCTCTGGGCCGTTTGTCGCAAGGGTAGGGGGGTGCAGATCTCTTCAAATGACGAAGGTCCCCACTGTGGACTATTTATTAATGTTCCTACTGTATTACAAACAAGTAAGTGGATACCAGCCGGTAAAAAGCAGCAAGATAACATAAGAGCGGCAGTGAACAATTTAGGGTCTACATCATAAAAACCGCCCCGCCAGGCAAGGGTTAAGTACTTCACCCGCATTATCTCCCCCCAGTCTTCACCGCAGCAACAAGGCAGGCATTATTCCCACTTTACAAGTGTAGAAACTGAGGCTTGACTACGGCCGTGCTGCTGCTAAATCCGGATCTGACTGCGGAAAGCTCACTCTCCTTCGCTGCTCTACACTCGCTCAAGTTACAACACGGCTTTCAAAAAGATAACTTCTGTTACCTAGAGGGGAAAGTTCAATTTCTTTCAGGGTCAAGCTTCTCGAACTGCTTGATTTTGTCCATGATATCTAGGAAAAGATTTTACAGATCAATCCCAATGCTCGACAGCCCCCCTCACCTGTGAGAAATTTCTTTTTCCATGTTTAATCTCAATTTTATCCCGACTACTTATGAGATGACAAGGCAGTCCCTTCACAGCATTATCTCCAGTTGATGCCCCTTCTCCGCCGTCTCGTCATTCTGTCCATACTGCTAGTCACTCTGTTGGGGAATTTCCATGCCAGTTCTGCTTAAGACCGCAAAGCAGCTAAGTAGAGCAAGTAAGTAAAATATGCACCAGCTAGCTGAAACCACAAAACAATTAAGCAGAGGTATAAGCCTGTCATGACTGTACTGCTTGTTGCAAACCTATCAAAACGATACTGTTTGTTATAAGCCTATCATAACTGTACTGCATGTAAAAACTGCTATTAATTGGCTAACTTTTGATCCTTTTACCTAATTGGTTAACTTTTATGCTTGTGTGTGTTATTGGATAAGACTAACCCCCCCCCCCAAAAGTATAAAACCTGACAACAACCAGGAAGAGGTGCTCAGAATTTGGAGGCTTGTCTCCTCTGGGCCGCTGGCAATAAACTTGTTGACTCTCCAACTCTGCGTGCTGCTCGGTTATTCCCCTGGGACCGGTCACTGTAACACTTGCCATAACAACTCCAGATTTCACATTCTCTTTCTTCCTTCTGTGCCTTTGCACCCTATTCCTTGGCCTGGAATGCACTTCTTCCTCCACTACTTCCGGTGAAGCAGTCTTTCAAAATCTGCTTCAAATATTACCTCCCAGGGAAGCCTTACCCCACTGTGGGTCGGGGTGCAAGTGCGGAAGCAGGTGCAATTTGTGGTTCCTTATTCTGTGCTTCTCGGTTACCCTCAGAGAGAGCACTTGCATATTCCCTTGAAAGTGCCGCAGTCATTTAACAAAACTTTACTGAGCCCCTAATACGTGCCTGATACTGGGTTAAGCATGGAGGATATGACACAAAAAAGAGCCCCATCCTTCAGCTGTCAGTCAGTGTGGTGGGGAAGATGGAGCCGCAACAATCACCACAATATATTATATGTTATTTGTTTATATATCTGCCTTTACAGCTGTCAAGTCTTCTCGGGGGCAAGGAACATGTTTTAGACATCCCTACATCTCCCTGCGCAGTGACCCTCAGACAGGTGGTTAGTTGAACAAATAACAGACTGTTCAGTAGGTAGAACAACGCGGGAAACAGTTGAAAGGGAACTCTACAGGAGATCAAAAGTATCAAACCTTGTAATCCTAGCACTCTGGGAGGCTGAGGCGGGAGGATTGTTTGAGCTCAGGAGTTCGAGACCAGCCTGAGCAAGAGCGAGACCGGTCTCTACTAAAAAAAAATAGAAAGAAATTAGCTGGACAACTAAAAATATGTATATATATAAAATTAGCTGGGCATGGTGGCGTATGCCTGTAGTCCCAGCTACTCGGGAGGCTGAGGCAGTAGGATTGCCTGAGCCCAGGAGTTTGAAGTTGCCCTAAGCTAGGCTGACACCACGACACTCTAGCCCGGGCAACAGAGCGAGACTCTGTCTCAAAAAAAAAAAAAAAAAAAGTATCAAACTTATGAAAAGGTGCTCAACCTCATTACCTCAGGGAAATGCAAAGTAAAGCCACAATGAGTTACCACCGTTTACCAGACAGAAAACATTAACCATCTGAGCAGACCAGGTGGGAGCAATGATGCTCCTAGTCACTGCAGGAAACCAGTTTGCCTTTAGCTAGGAAAGGTGTGGCTATACACACCCCAGGAAGTTTATAGTTCCATAATTTGTAACAAGCCCCCAAACTGGAAACAACCCAAATGTCCATCAAAAGTACGATGGATAAATAAATGGTGGCATATGCCTATAATGAAATACTACACAGCAACAAAAATGAAAGATCTATAACCACATGCAACGAGGTGGGTAATTACCTAAACATGATATTCAGTGAGAGAAGCCATATACCTATAGTATATGGTCCCACTTACGTAAAGTCTCAAACCAGGCAAAACTGAACTATAGCATGCTCTGCATAAAAGACAGGATGGTGATTACCTCCCGGGAGAAAGGGAGGAGGTAAAATACTGGGAAGAAATTTTTGACTGGGAAGAAATATTTTGGGTGCTGGTGATATTCTAATTCTTGACTTGGGTAGTGGCTACATATATGTTTGCTTTCTAATAGTTAAGTTATACATTTATGTTTTATTCACATTTTTATACATATATGCTATAGATCACAATTTTAAAAGGTTAAAACAAACCAGAGCTACAACAAACTCATCCTGCTGCAATTCCAGCCCACTTTCCCACGTTCTTATCTCCATTTAAGTGTCTTACCTTTGCTTTCCTGCCTTCGGGCTTAACAATGTGAAAGCCTTTAACCCTTATTGGGAAATGATCCAGGAAAGCTTTGGTCACAACTACTGTGCAGGGGAAGTTGTACCACTGCTCCTTCAATCCCTTTTGCAGAAAGGGGAAATTTCTTTCCTAAACAGAGGGTCAGTTTATGCCTTGAAAGAACAACTGCTATTGTCATTTAATCCTAGCAGCTCAAGTAACTGCGGACAGTTTTATTCATAAACATTTCATCTCCTCCCACTCAGTAATTGTTTTAACTCTCACCGGGTTGTGAGGTGGTGACATAAATCTTTTTTTTTTTTTTTTGTGCTGTTCTATGGTAGGGACTTGACAAAATGGATGAAGCTCTTTAAACAATTAACCAAAAGTAATAAGTTTATCGCAGAAAATTTCAGGAAACACAAACACAATAAAAATCACCTCCATTGTTAATTCATTGGTGCCTACCCTTCCAGTGTTTTCCCTGGGCATAAAAGCACCACTGACACAGGTGGTCAGTTCTCTCCCAAGGCAGGAGCTCTTCCTATAAAGAATGGCTCACTGGAGGCCTGTGAGTGCCTCCCGACAGGCTGTGAAGTGACCCCAAATGCAATGTCTCACATGTACATACCACCGAGGGCTACTTATTAATAACTGCCTAAATGACTAACGGTTACCTCTAAAATGAAGTATTCATTAATAAAAAGGGTTTACATAGTGTTATAGCTCTTTAGAATTTGTCTGGCAGATTTTCCGGTCTGGACTGGAGGACCGGCCCCTCCAATGAAAAAAGAAAAAAAAATTAAAAAACGAGTTTACAGAAGCCCCTCACTCACTATTCTCAGAAGTCTGCCTTCCATACAGCACTGCCAAGCTCCAGCTCCAGAGGTGCCTTCAGGGGGCTGGACTTCCCCAGTTATGGAGAAGGACACTGAGTTGGTTTTATTTTCCAATCTCTGCTATTCTTGCTCTTTAACTATAAATAACTGTTAGTCTGGCTTTGTAATTATTAATTTTGTTTGTTGTGGATCTTCTGGTTAACCTTACTGCATGCAGGGATGTGTATTTACAACAACAGTCTTTTCAGTCTATAATTTAAGCCAGACGTTACTACACATGTGGGCTACATCCAATTGGATCCTCTATCTCCCTACTGTAAAGCAGATGTCTGCAAACTCTCTCAATATTTGCTCATACAGTGATACTGTAACAGAAATGTACCGCCTGTGAATGTATGCTACTTAACTTACAACATATTATCAAAGAAAGTAATAAGTTACTGAGTTATTTTTAAGTACTAGGGTATTATTTTAGAATAGAATATGCATATAAATAGACTCATGTTCTTATCTTAACTCTTAGGAAATACATAAAAAACAATTCAGAGTTGCTAGGCACAAATTTGCTGCCCTCCTTTTTTTGTTGTTATTTCTCTTCAATTCTTTATCATTGGGTCTTTTATTCCACTGAAGCAGTTACGACCATATCAACATTAATTCTCAAAATTTATGGTGTCTGCTCAGAGTAAGCCCACTTGCTTTGATAACCTGTAAGGCTTTTGGTAGAGAGAATAGGGAGTTGCTCAACTGGCTGAGTAGTGTTCCGCATCTGTATTTATGCTGCTGTATATCCTATTAATATTAATGACCAGAACTGGCTTTTGAAGTTACGAGAAAGCCAGAAATGCCTCAGGTACCCCCCCACCCCGAAGAAACAGAGGTCTCCAAAAGCAGTTAAGTACCTGTACCCCAATCGAGTAAGTTATCCAGTAAGAAAGAAAAAAAAGTAGTATTTATCAACTATCTATATGTGCCAGGCATTGTGTTAGTAGGTATTATTCATATAATAAAGATATAAGATCAGTAATAATGTCAAAAT